AATGAAATTCTAATAGAATTTAAATAGACACCGTAGGGCTCTGGCTTGCATGGTGCAGAAAGCAGCAGCAGGATGGAGGTGGTGGCCTCAAATTCTCTGGGTTCTGTATCTGGCCAAACTCTGCATCTGGTGTTTGCCCGGAAGCCTGGTGCCAATGTCACACAATGCCACATCTGTTTTCCACAAATGTCTAAGCACTGAGTTCTTAAATTCCTGGCAGGGAAACCTGGCATCCGTATTTCCAAAAATAGGTTTGATATTTCAGAAAATTTGGGGTTAATAAACCCTTCTTTAATTTTTCTGTTTAGGAATGAAACCATTACTTTGCTCTTTCACTTTGTAGTTTTAAAAGGTAGCTCGAGCCAGGCTCTGTTACTACAAATTTGTACAAATAACCCATTTCTCTGTCTTGGTAAACATTTGTCACTTATTCTAACCTGAATGTTGAATATGGAATCATTGGTGTGAATACTTCCAGTCACCGTATTCTTATTGAAGACAAATTCTGTATTCAGAACCTTCAAATGAGAGGACTGTCTGGATGTATTAGACTCTCAACTCGTATTTCTTCATTCAATTTTTATAGCAGTGTTATAAAAGGTAGATACTACTGTCTTTTCGTAAATGAGGAAATTGAGGTCTGCACAAATTAAGGAACTTGCCAGCAGTCATAGAGCCAGTAAATGGATCAGCCAGGATTCTGCCCTGTTCTGACTCCTGGTGCTCACGCTGTCATTACTACCCCTGCACCATCAGACCTGTTCTGCCAAGCATGGCCATTCACGCTCTTTGGGATCATACATTGTGTGACAGCAAATTAACTGTAAAATATAGCTTCCTCCAGAGTCTGTTTTTAGCTTTGTGCTTTCCATAACAATGTATTTCTACCTATGGAACTTCTATGTTACTGTTTTTTCACTACAGTCTATAGGATTTTAAAGGTTGAAGTTTGGCATGTTCCTGACTCAGCCCTATATTTCAAAATGAGAATAGTGCTGACCATCAGATTGTAGATAATGGGTAATTTATTTTTAATTTTTGTGAAAGTTTAACATTCACATTTCATTCCATATTTTAAAATTTATATACACCTGATAGTTATTTTTAAGCATGCATTTTCTTGTAATTAACTTTTTAATAGGTAATATGTTCAGTTGGTTTCAAATTCAAGAGGAATAATATAACAGTAATAATAATAGCTAACTGGGAATAGATAGCACTTACTGCACCAGGCATTCATCTAAGCACTTTTTATGCATTAATTTAATCCTCATACAGTGATGCAGTAGGTACTATTGTAGCCCTGATTTGCAGACAAGTGAGCTGAAGCAAGCGAGGTACACTTGATCAGCCTGGTCTGGACTTTGTTGTTTGATTAGTCAGGTGTCACCTCCTTTGGGAAGAAGATGAACTCACCACTCTCTTTTTTGAATTGGATTCAGTGCTTACCCTACAGACATCAATTATTCTTTTATTGCACATTTATTCTGTCTCATTTCTCCTTAGACTGTAAGCTTCCCCAAGTACCCCATCTTATGCTTTTGAGCAGGCCCACCACTTAGCATAATTTCTGGCTGTCGTGAGGTACCTACTCAACACAGTTTTCCTGGGACATATTTTCTCATTTTAAAAATGGCTGTATCTTCTTTCCGTTCTTCACAGAATTGTTAGGAAAATCAAATCAGAGTTCATAGCTGTTTGTAAGCTTCAGAGCACTAAGCAAATAAGTATTGAATCAATTATGGAGTGTGTGTGCTTAATGAAGACCAGTGCTTTTACATCCTTTGGATATTAGCAAAAGGATTGGCATGCAGGACACATTGGCAATCCAATGTGTCACTGTATTCTAACCATTCCATTTCTAACCAGTAGTTTTAATAACTTCAAGTGCTTTTTTCTTAATCTGATTGTATGCTTTTTTTTCTTTTTTGCTCTGATGAAGGCCTAGAGAAATGTTTATGTCCTGATATTTAGATGATGTAGACTTGTACTATTTAGATTCTACAACTGGTTATGCTGTCTAATTCAGTGTTTCTTAATACTTGTTACATATGAAAATCATAAGGTGGTAGTTTTGTTTTGTTTTTTACCTGAAAATCATCAGGCTTTGTCTTCTCATTCTTGGGATCAGAATCTCAGAGTGGAGGGAGGGAGAGTTCAACACAGGTAATTTTGATGAGGCTCTAGGAATGAGATGTATTCTAAATATGTTCTAAAGGGTATGTGACAAGATGGCTTAATGTCACCACAAATATTTTTTTAATAAGAAATGCAGTCATTTCATTTTAATAGCTCTCGAGAGCACTGACATTTATTCTGTTATTCTGCTGTACATTTTACAGACCATTTGTGCCGGTGAGTTCAGTGGGTACTCTAATTACTCAAAACCATATGGCCTTGGCAGGCAGCTGATAAATGGGTTACAGTTTCTTTCCAGGCTGAAAAATCATCTTTGCCTTGCTTGGGATAAATTTGGGGCCTTGAGCTGAACCTCACTTATTTTATTTTTTTTAACAGAAATTGTCTCTTTATATGTAGATATTTCACGACTTGCTTGTAGAAATGAGGCACCATCTCTTTAGGCTGAAGCCTTGATGAGTCTCATCAGTTTCTATCCAGGGCTGTCAGTCTTACCATCTGTTGGTCTGAGTGTGTATTTCCGCCCTTAGTAACACAGCACCTGCAGGCCAGGCCCCCATCAGAGAATAATAATCAGAGTAGTCTGTTAGCCAGCTATTGGTAGAATTGCATCATGGAAGATTGTTTGAGGAGATGCAGTCTATTTTTTTCTAGAGGTAGCCCCCTTTGATATGGGTCATCAGAAAGCTGTTTCTCTAAAGTGTCTTACCTTGCTAGCCCCACTTTATTTCCTCATTTATAAAAGAGAGTTTGAGTTTCCAACCACTTAAACATTGAAAGTTGGTCCAACACTTGCATTATCCAGCAGGAACACTGGTATGGATAATTGAGAATTTGTTTTCCGTAATAATTATAAGTTAATTATTTTAAGTAAATAAGTTCTAGCATACTATACCAGAACTAGCACTGAGGGCTGTGGGCACACCGGTATGCGGCGGGAGAGTGTACATAGTACACTAGGTGCTAACATACTATGCTAGAGCTTATTAAAATGGAGCATGTTGGGAAAGTTTGGCTTCCCTCCTGCATATATATCATTTAAGTACTGATTTTTGTTAGGTGGGCTTACAATACAAAATGGAAGTATGTCACCTTCTTCTAAGTATTTCACAACACCTAGCATGTCCCTGCATCTTTTACATTACTGATTCAATTCCTGGTTTGTTTCTCCCAACAGAAGGAGCCATTTGTTCTTGCATCAGAAAAAATCATATTCAGTTTACAAATGAGTCATTTCCTCATTCTAACTAAAAATGGGTACATTTTTAAAAACATGAAGCAAAACTTCTCTGCAGTTTGTGAATGGAAGCCCTTTATGAGTGTGGAAAATTTGTTGCATTGTTGTTTTATTCCACTTATTTTATCAGCCAGGAATGCATTAGTCTCTCTAATGACAAAAAACTGAAGGATAGCGTAAATAGATTAGGGACTTGTTTGTTTTAACAAATCTCTTGCTGAGGCCATCAGGGAACAAGATTTTCCCTTTTTTTTTTCTTCACTTTGACATCCGTACAGTACAAGAATTTGTCCTCAGGTTTTTCATCTCAAGGATGCTTACATTCTAAAATGGCTTTGTTATTTCCCAAGAAGATGGAAAGGGATGAAAAGTCTTTTCTTCCAAGATTTGTCTCACCCTTTGCCCCCCAGGCTGGAAATTACTTATATTTTATCGACCAAAACTATGACATATGGCCCCGCCTAGCTGCAAGGGAGATAGGAAAATAGCACTTTTACTTTTAGCGTGTCCAGCAGGAGAGACAAAGAGAAGGCAGCTCCTGAGGTGTTTCTTTCACAGTCTCTGCTGAAAGCGTCCTTCCTGAAAGTGGGCCAATATTTTTTGTAGTTATCTTTAGTATGGATATTTTTTCCTAGTCATAACTTAATTTAGGAATTCAGAGCACATTTAATCTGAACCTGTTGACAGAGATAATTCATTTTTTGATAATTATATTTTTAAGGTGTGAGATGGTTTGATAAATCAAATTCCAAAACCCTTATGGCTAGATGATATATTGCAGACTTTAATGCTTTTCGATGGTAGACTGTGTACCTTTTTGAACACTCTCTAATTTTGGAGGGACAAGCTGAACATAGTGGCTGTAGGTGTTGAACAAATGGCATTTTGCATACAAAAATAGCGTTTGAGGAGCTTTTTAAGAATCTAATTGAAGGAAGAAGAAACTAATAAAATTGTAGAAATGAGATAAAATTGTAAAGCAAGTAATTCTTTTGTTTGAGAGCAAATGAGGACGGTAGTGTGACAGAGCAGAGGTAATGCCACACAGCGGAGAGAGCCAGGCGTCAGGCGGCCGGGGTTTCCGTCCTTTTCTACCACATACAGCCGTCTCCTCTCCGTGTTACTCTGCCTCTTTGAGTCGTGGTCTCCCCTTCTTCTTGTCTACATAGTCATTGTACCAACCTCACAGTGTCATTTGACTCCCCCACCTAGAAAATGGGAAGGGTTTGTTTCCTGTTAGTTCCCCTCACTAAATGACTGAAGGTGAAAAAGTGCCTAACTGTTAAAAGCAAGCCATGTGTAGCTCAAGATCTGTGTCCTAGTCAACTTATGTACTATGTGCAAAAAAGCTTTGCTTTATTAGCAGCCTGTCAAGCTTCAAATGCTATCATGTTATCATGTATTTAAGTATATATATATATCATGTATATAAAATAAGATATATCTTATATATCATGTCTATGAAATAAAACCACTCTCAATCCATTTTTAATGAATTGCTTAATTCCATATTTACATGTTGTAGTAAAATTTAATGAGATTTATTAAATGTTAGAGAATAGAATTTTATTTTCAAGATCCATATTTTCATTTCTTTATGATTTTTTGTTTTTCTCCAAACTAGGATTTTAAGAGTGGACTTGGTATTACCATAATCCCTATGAATGTAGCAAATGTAAAACAAGTGGACCGAACTGTAAAACAGTCTTTTGAAATAATCACTCCCTATAGGAGTTTTAGGTAAGTTATATTTAAATATTTTTTGTTTGTACTATTACAGTAAAGCTTGGGTGACCCATTGTTACATTGCCAGTCGTGATTTGACTTCTTATAAGACACAGTAAAATTACGTTCTTACTTTTTCATATTGTGTCATTTATTAGCCAGTGTGTAAAAATTTACCAATAGGTACCAAAGATGCTCAGTAGCACTGATTATTAGATACACATCAAAACTACAATGAGGTACCACCTTGCACCAAGCAGAATGGACATCATTAAGAAGGCTACAAATAACGTGTTGAAGTGAGTGTGGAGAAAAGGGAACTCTTCTACACTTTTGGTGGATGTGCAAATTAATGCAGCCACTATGGAAAAGATTATGGAGGGTTCCTTAAAAAACTAAAAATAGAGATACCATATGATCCTACAGTCTTACTCCTGGGCATATATTCAGAGAAAACTCTAATTCAAAAAGATGTATGCACCCCAGTGTTCACTGCAGTGTTATTTAGAATAGCCAAGACATGGAAGCAACCTAAATATCCATCAACAGATGAATAGATAAAGAAGATATGGTGTGTATATATGTATATACAAGAAAGACAAATACCATAAAGCATCTCTTTTATGTAGAATTGTAAAAAAATATAAATGATCTTATTTACAAAACAGAAATAGATTCACAGAAAAGACTTATGGGAAAACATCCCCACCAAAGGGGAAATAAATTAGGAATTTGGGATTAGCATATACACACCATTATATATAAAGTGGGTAAACAATAAGCCCCTACTGTATAGCACAGGGAACTATATTCAATATTTTGTAATAACCCTATAATGGAAAAGAATATGAACATATATGTGAAATGAATCACTTTGCTGTGTACCTGAAACAGAAAAAATTGCATTTTTATTTTTTCAGATCATGTAATTTGTTAGCCAGTACATAAAAACACCTTGCAGAAGTGACTGGACTAATCATATAACCTGCAAAGATACTAATTTCTTGAGATTTAATAGTTTCTTTTCATAATATCTTTTTTCTTAGAAGACTTGATGATTTTTGATTCACAAATATATGAAAAATTGTTGTGAGGGAATAAAATAAAAATAGATATAGCATTGTCTTTAAGCTGTATTGTTATTTTGCCTTTTTTTTTAGCCTAATCAAATACAATCTCTCCTTTAAGATTAATCCCTAATTACAGTTGTTCAGTGATTTTCTAAAAGGAATTCCAGCTTAAACTGCTGCCAAATTTAATGACTCATAGCACTTATTGATCAAATATCTTAGCATTTTGATGTATATCTTGTATTATGGTCCTCTACTAATTACTTTATTATGACAGTGAAACAGAAAACTTAATGTATGTTCTGAGTATGTGTTAATAATCTATAGTAACTCCATTGCTTTAGAGGGGCATGAGTCATATCTGTTGAGTTCAACCACATTAATTTCTCACAAATAATCAACATACCACAAAGTAGTATGTGGGTTAGAGGCAATCGTCACAGGATTTTGAAGATCTAGCAATTAATTACTTTGTGATTTCAAAAATGCTATTAATACCAAATGTAGTACCCATATTATCTGTTAAAATATGTCTACTGGCTGGAATTTTGAAAAAGAATAACAAGCTTTATTTTCATAAAGGAAATTCAAGCCTTAACTGAAAATATAGACATTGTCTAAACTGTTTTTACTTAAAATGCTTTATATTATGTCAAGCTTGCACCGTTGTCCTCATACCAACCAATTCTCCAACTCCGCATACACCAGCTGGGTGTCCTATACCTTCCCGGAGGGAGACTCAGACCCACGGGGTTCAGGGCTCAGTCCCGGAAGACTGTCCTCGGGTTACTCTCACTCAGCCCAGCTGAGCTCAAACTGGGGTGCCCATTACCTTCTCTCCCCCAGATTTGATCATTTGCTGAAATGTCTCAGAGAACTCAGGAGAAGAGCTCCAGGAATAGTACCAGCTTATGATAAAAAGCGCCGCTCAGGAATGGCCAAATGGGAGAGCTTTGGGGGGCACGCTTCAGGGGGGTGTCTGGTAGGAGCTCCCACGTGCTCTCTGGATGCAGCACCCTCCTGGCCCCTCCGTGTGTTCATCAGCCTCGGAGTCCTGCAAACCCTGTTGTCTGGGGGATTTTACGGAGGTTTCATTTCATCGGCCAGACGGATGAGACCCAGGGTGTGTGTGCCTGCTCAGTCGTGTCTGACTCCTTGCTCACCAGGCTGCTCAGTCCGTGGGCTTTTCCAGGCAAGAATACTGATGTGGACCCAGGCTTCGAACCATCATGTTCTGTGTCGCCTGCATTAGTAGTTGGATTCTTTACCACTCATGCCACCTGGGAAGCCCTGAAACCCTGGGCCGTTGATGATTAAGTCAATTACCAGCCTGTCTCACCTTCCCAGGGGCTTCCCAGGTGGCACCAGGGGTAAAGAATTCACCTGCCAATACAGGAGACTCAGGTTTGATCCCTGAGTTGGGAAGATCGCCTGGAGTAGGAAGCAGCAGCCTGCTCCAGTATTCTTGCCTGGGAAATTTCGTGGACGGAGGAGCCTGGTGGGCTGCAGTAGCAAAGAGTCAAACATGATCAAGCACCGCAGTTCTCCCCTTCCCAGAGGTCAAGGGATAGGAAAGTTCCAGCTCTCTAGTCCCATCTTGGTCTTCTGCTGACCAGCTCCCATGCTGAAGCCTCCAGTCGGAAGCTGTCCATTAGCACATAAAGGGTTTTTGCCACTCGGGATTCCAAGGATCTGAGAAACTGTACACCTGGAACCAGGGACAGGGACCAGCCTATTTTCCATTGTACCGTGTGGGCTCTGACCAGTCTCTACAGAGAAGCAGGAAAGAAACCACTAAAGGATTTATAGATGTTATAGTGATAATGAAACATGGAGTGATTAAAAACATATAATCCATGGGGCCACTCAATTTCTCTATAGATTATGTAGGATATATTAGTCCTCTGTTCATTGTATCTCAAAACATTTTCATCTTCAGAACAGAAAATTGTAGTGGGAAGCATCATTCTATGGGTCATTGACTGAGTTTGGGGCACTGTGTATAGTACATTTTCTGGTTTATTATAAGTACTCTGTAAATATTTCTTGAAGGAGTGAACTGATGTTTTAATGTTTTATTCTTTCACTCAGGTACTCCATAAGCACTAAGAATTGGAATAAATAAGAATGAGGCTAAAAATGAGTTAGCATTCTGTTAGAATACTAATCACTTAAAACTTTTTTGATTTCTCAGTTTCTGAAAGCCATCTGGACATTCTTCCAATTAAAAAAAAATCTATTTTTAAGACAAAAAAATCAAATTTCTGGTGGGTGTTTTTGATAACTTATTTTCAGACTATGGCATATTTTCTTGGCAAAATAACCCACTTAGTCCTGAAACTCTGCCAGTCTCTCATTGATTATGATGTAACCACTGCTTAGAAAACATGGCCTCACTTTTAAGCTTTTGACCTAACAAGGTGATTTTTATATCCTGGTCAGAAAAATGTGTATGTTAATTTTGGCTCAAGATAGGTAAACAAAGTCATAAGCAACGTGGAAAGTCAAAGGAAAAAAATAGATTTCTCAATGAGATGGTTTTTAACAGAAAAGACTGCAATGGCCTGGAAGGCATATTTTTCAGCCGCTGTCTCCTTTGTGAGTGAAATGAATATACAAACTGAACATCCTGCTTAATTGGCCTTTACAAGGGAGATCGATAATGCAGAAACATTCATTGTTTCAGCTTTACCGCTGAGTCTGAAAAAGAGAAGCAGGAGTGGATTGACGCTGTGCAGCAATCAATAGCAGAAACTCTCTCTGATTATGAAGTAGCCGAGAAGATTTGGTACAATGAGTCCAACAGGAGCTGCGCAGATTGCAAAGCCCCAGATCCCGACTGGGCCTCCATCAATCTCTGTGTTGTCATCTGCAAGAAGTGTGCAGGTAATTAGTGATAAGTTACGCTCATCGCTGTTTGGTAGCAGATCGGCACCGAATGCTCTTTAGTCTCATATATACTGTGTCCCAGCTAATGGCTATGAAGAATAAAAGCCGAGAAAACTGATTACATTTAAATCAAATTGAGAAATATCATTCTATACTTCTCTTATGCATGGCTTAGAGATAAAAATTGATTTAAAGCATGTAATCATTTTTTGTGTGTGTGCCTACTGGACCATGTATGGATTTTTAAAAGACAATACTGAAATTTTCAGATTTGGGATGAATGTGTTTCAGAACGCACCCTGAACACACTCACTGTTCGTATGACTTGTCCCTTTTCCCAAATCATATTTTGTAAGACGTATTTTTCACATTTCAAGGCTGCTCTGCTTTCTAATCTTGTTACACAAGATCTGCTCTCTCTTATAATGGGAATTATTATATAGAAGCATTTTCCAGGCATATTGAAGTTTATGAAAGTAACCAGTGTTGTGACTTGTTTTCTCCTTGTGACCTTAAACCTATTGGACTATTTGACATCTCGTATTTGGGCGGTAAGGCAACTGTCCAAGTGAGGGAAGGGAACGGACCCTAGCGTAGGTATGTGACTGTGGGGGTCTTGGAGAAATTAGCTACAACCTAAACTTTCCTCAGCTCTTCAGCTCTACCAGGTACTGTGCTGGTCCTGGGAGTTAAAGAAATCTATAAGATACGACATATCCTGCAAAAATATATAGTCATTTTAATAGAGTATGATTAGGATCGCAATAGCGTTGAGCACAGGTTTCATTGAGAGAATGCAGAGGGAGAGCTTCTATCTCAAACAGAGCAAAGACAGGACAGCTGCTTCAAACCCTTCAGAGCCTTCCAGAGCTCTGAGGTAGGAGTCCTCACAAGCTGATCAACTACATCAGTAGCCACCAAAAAGCCTCAGTTAATCCTCCTTGACTTTGCATTTTCTCCCAACCTCTTCTTTCCAGTCCCATTGGAAGAGAGAGTGTCTGTCCAAGGCTGTTCTGTCTTCTTATGTTCCCTTTCTCTCCTCTCTTCTCTGAGTCCTTACCCCATCACTTATTCACTCTCTAAGTACAGTAGGCCTTTGACAGTCATGGATTCCAGGTCAAAAGTAATTTTTAAAAAATTCCAAAAAGCAAAATTTGAATTTGCATGTACCTGCGATTGTTACATAGCATTTGTATTGTATTGTGTATTTTAAGTAATTTAGAGATGATTTAAAGTATTGAATATAATAGAGAATGTGTATAAGTTGTATGCAGATACTATGGCCATATTATACAAGGGACTTGAGCATACTTGCTTTTTGGTGTCTGTGGAGAGTCCTGGTATCAATCCTCTGAGATACTGAGGGACAGCCATATTCAACTAGGGTTTATTTGATTCAGCAAATAAATTTGCATAATTCTGTTCTGTTAACACAAGATCTCTGAAAACCTACTATTCCCTTAGATATAATTCTCTGTTCCTTTTTCCTTTCATAGAGAAGATACTTTCAAGAGTAATAGTTTATGCAGGTTTTCATTTCTTTAACTTTCTAGTATATCATCAGTTCAGTACAGTTCAGTTGCTCAGTCATATCCGACTCTTTGCAACCCAATGAACCACAGCACGCCAGGCCTCCCTGTCCATCACCAACTCCTGGAGTCCACCCCAACCCATGTTCATCGAGTCAGTGATGCCATCCAACCATCTCATCCTCTGTCGTCTCCTTCTCCTACTGTCCTCAATCTTTCCCAGCATGAGGGTCCTTTCAGATGAGTCAGTTCTTCGCAACAGGTGGCCAAAGTATTGGCGTTTCAGCTTCAACATCAGTCCTTCCAATGAACACCCAGGACTGATCTCCTTCAGGATAGACTGGTTGGATCTCCTTGCAGTCCAAGGGACTCTCAAGAGTCTTCTCCAACACCACAGTTCAAAAGCATCAATTCTTCAGTGCTCAACTTTCTTTATAGTCCAACTCTCACATCCAAACATGACCACTGGAAAAACCATAGCCTTGAGTAGATGGACCTTTGTTGACAAAGTAATGTGTCTGCTTTTTAATATGCTGTCTAGGCTGGTCATAACTTTCCTTCCAAGGAGTAAGCATCTTTTAATTTCATGGCTGCAGTCACCATCTACAGTGATTTTGGAGCCCAGAATAATAAAGTCAGCCACTGTTTCCACTGTTTCCCCATCTATTTGCCATGAAGTGATGGGACCGGATGCCATGATCTTAGTTTTCCGAATGCTGAGCTTTAAGCCAACTTTTTCTCTCTCCTCTTTTGTTTTCATCAAGAGGCTCTTTAGTTCTTCCTCACTTTCTGCCATAAGGGTGGTGTCATCTGCCTATCTGAGGTTATTGATATTTCTCTTGGCAATCATCAGCATCCTGTAATCAGTCTTCATCTACCTCACCTCCAATACATTTCACCACATTTACCAGTGTATTTTACCTCTCGGCTTCTGTGTGGTCAGTTCCTATCTTCATTGCGCTCTCTGGAGTAGTTGACACTCTTGACCGGTCTACCTCTCAGTGGTGACTCCCCATCCTTCCTCAACTTCCAGCAAGCCGTTTCCTCTTAGTGTGCTCTTGTTATCCTGCTCATCCTTTGCCTGCTCCTAAAACGTGTGTGTTGCCTTGGGTCGTATCCTCAGATCTCTTTCATTCTGATATTCCTGAGTGATGTTATTTATCATTTAAATCCCACAGTCTATTTAAGCAGGTGTTTCTTAGTCTGTTGGAAACCATACTCCTGTATCTCCTGCTAGGGTCTCCACTTGGATTTGCTCAAGATACCTCAAAATGAACATGATGGTATGGAGTTCTCATTGCTTCCCAGCTCACTACATAAAGCTGAATATTTTCCTATATTGCAAATCTTGATCAGAAGTGATCCACTCTGCCCTTCACTCAAGCCTAAAACCTGAGAGTCCCTCTTGATCCTTCCCCTTTCCTTAAAGCCCACCAGATTCCATCCCGGTTTTACCTTCTAAGTATCTCTAAATCTGTTCTCCACTCCACTTCCTTTTCCAGCTGCCCCAACTCAGAACCTTAGGCTACTCCAGCATCCTTTCTTCCTGCCTGCCTTTGAGCTTTGCTCCTTTTGGTGTTGCCTTTTTGTAGTCTCTGTAAGTGCAAACGTATGCCAGGTGCTATCATGGGAATTCCAGGGCATGGTGCTCTGAGTAATTTTTTTCTCAGAGAAGGGAGGAAAGGAACCTACCTAATGTACAGAGAGGAATGAACTTTCTCATGATCATTGGGCAGAAGATCCTTAAGACCAAAGATGATGTTTTGTGTTCTTTTCTCCTTCTCAGCTTAGAAAGAGTCTGACATAGGCCTGGATGCCCAGTAAAGTCTGGATGATGATTTATACAGCAGAATTAAATTGATGATACTAGAATGCTGGGCTGTTACTGTCTTCCAGGTATAATCATAGAATAAAGAATCCACTTTAGATTTCTTAAGTATACATTCATTGGCTAGTATGTTGCTAGTCATTTTTTTAAGAGTAAGGGATGATATCTGTATTCACATATATGTAATTTACACAGACCCATTATAAAGAGTTTTCAGTGACTTACAATTTCTAGTCAGTTACCAAACAAAGAAAAAATTATATATATATACACATACATACATGTACACACATAAACACAAATACATGAATACATACTTTTAAAGGGCTTCCTGGTAGCTTGGCTGGTAAAGAATCTTGCCTGCAATGCAGGAGACCCCAGTTCAATTCCAGGGTCAGGAAGATCCCCTGGAAAAGGGATAGGTTCCCCACTCCATTATTCATGGGCTTCCCGGTGGCTCAGATGGTAAAGAATTCACCTGCAGTGGGGAAACTTGGCTGTGATCTCTAGGTTGGGAAGATACCCTTGAGAAGAGCATGGCAACCCACTCCAGTATTCTTGCCTGGAGAATCCCCATGGACAAAGGAGCTTGGTGGGCTATAGTCCGTGGGTCACTAAGAGTTGGACACGACTGAGCAGGTGATTTCCATAATCTTTCTTATTCTTGGTTATGATTTCTGTTTGATTACTACCACTACTGTGGTATAAAAAAGTAGGTAATAGTTTAAGTTGAAAAGAGATATTAATGCAGCCATACATATATTTATTGTTGTTCTGTTGCCAAATTGTGTCCAAATTTTGTGACCCTATGGATGGCAGCACTTCAGGGTTCCCTGTCCTTTACTATATCCTGGAGTTTGCTCAAACTCATGTCCATTAAGTTGGTGATGCTATCCAACCATCTTATCCTCTGTTGCCACCTTCTTCTTGCTTTCATTCTTTCCCAGCATCACAGTATTTCCCAATGAGTCAGCTCTTCACATCACCGTGCCAAAGTATTGTAGCTTCAGCTTCAGCACCAGTCCTTTCAGTGACCATACAGCATTGACTTCCTTTAGGATTGACTGGTTTGATTCTCCTTCCTGTCCAAGGGACTCCCGAGTCTTCTCCAGCAGCATAGCTCAAAAGCATCAATTTTTTGGTGCTTAGCCTTCTTTTTGGTCAGATTCTCAACATCCATACATGACTACTGGAAAAACCATAGCTTTGACTATATGGACCTTTGTTGGCAAAGTGATATCTTGGTTTTTAATACACTGTCTAGGTTTGCCATAGTTTTTCTTCCAAGGAGCAAGTGTCTTCATGGCTGCAGTCACCATCTGCAGTGATTTGAAGCCGAAGAAAATAAAGTCTCTCACTGTTCCCATTTTTTCCCCATCTGTTTGCCATGAAACGATGGAATTGGATGCCATGATCTTAGTTTTCTGAATGCTCAGTTTTAAGGCATCTTTTTCACTCTCCTCTTTCACCTTCATCAAGAAGTTCTTTAGTTCCTCTTCACTTTCTGCCACTAGGGTGGTATCATCTGCATATCTGAAGTTACTGATATTTCTCCTGGCAATCTTGATTTCACCTTGAGCTTCATCCAGCTTGGCATTTCACATGATGTACTCTGCATATAAGTTAAATAAGCAGGGTGACAATATGCAGCCTTGACATACTCCTTTCCCAATTTGGAACCAGTCCATTGTTCCATGTCCGATTCTAACTGTTGCTTCTTGACCTGTATACAGGTTTCTCAGAAGGCAGGTAATGTGATCTGGTATTCCCATGTGTTGAAGAATTTTCCACAGTTTGTTGTGATTGACACAGTCAAAGGCTTTAGTGTATTCCTTGAAGCAGAAGTAGATGTTTTTCTGGAATTTCCTTGCTTTCTTTATGATTCAGTGAATATTCATAGTTTGATCTCTGGCTCCTCTGCCTTTTCTGAATCCAGCTTGTTATCTGGAAGTTCTTGGTTCATGTATTGCTGAAGCCTAGCTTGAAAGATTTTGAGCATAACCTTACTAGCATGTGAAATGAGCACAACTGTATGGTAGTTTGAACATTCTTTGACACTGCCCTTCTTTGGAATTGGAATGAAAACTGACTTTTCCAGTTGTGGCCACTACTGATGTTCTGGCATAGTGAGTGCAGCATTTTAACAGCGTCATCTTTTAGGATTTTAAGTAGTTTAGCTGAAATTCAATCACCTCCAATAGCTTTGTTCATAGTAATGCTTCCTAAGGCCCATTTGACTTTACACTCCAGGATGTCTGGCTCTAGGTGAGTGACCATACCATCGTGGTTATCTGGGTTATTCAGACCTTTTTTTGTATGTAGCTCTTCTCTGTATTCTTGCCACCTCTTCTTAATCTCTCTGCTTTCTGTTAGATCCTTACTGTTTCTGTCTTTTATCATGTCCATTCTTTCATGGAATGTTCCCTTGATGTCTCCAATTTTCTTGAGATTTGTAGTCTTTCCCATTTTGTTGTTTTCCTCTATTTCTTTGTATTGTTCCTTTAAGAAGGCTTTCTACCAGTCTGTCCTCCTTATTTTCTGGAACTCTCCATTCAGTGGGGTATATCTTTCTGTTTCTCCCTTGCCTTTAGCTTCTATTCTTTTCTCTGCTATTGTAAAGCCTCCTTAGAAAACCACTTGGCCTTCTTGCATTTCTCTTTAGCAGGTTTTGGTCGTTGGCTTCTGTACAGTGTTACAAACCTCAGTCTATAATTCTTCAGGCACTCTGTCTACCAGATCTAATCCCTTGAATCTATTCTTTATCTCCACTGTGTAATCAAAAGGGATTTGATTTATACCTGAATGGTCTTGTGGTTTTCCCCACTTTCTTCAATTTAAGTCTGAATTTTGCAATAAGCAGTGGATGATCTGAGCCATAATCAGTTCCAGGTCTTGTTTTTGCTTCTCTAAAAAGCAAAGAATATAATCTTCTTGGTTGCAAAGAATATAATCAATAAATCTGATTTTGGTGTTGACCAGCTGATGATGTCCATGTGTTTTAATGTTAATACAGATTGCCATGTATATATACATACATACTTTTTATGGTAAAATACATGTACATAGAAATTCAAAGAGAATTACTTTTTTTTTTTTTTGGTCTACAGGGCAACATAGATCTTTAGGACCAAAAGATTCCAAGGTTAGAAGTCTGAAAATGGATGCCAGCATTTGGAGCAATGAGCTCATTGAGGTGAGTCTGACTTGACTGTGGTGTGATCAGCCAGAATCTGGGAAGAAATGTGCATTTGTTGGCGGGATGAGGTTACTTTAGGATCTCTCTGATCAAGATCTCGGCACAGTATAAAAAATGACTTATCGCCTGTTGTCTCGTGGTAACTTTCTACCTTAACTTTCAGAATGCTTCCTAAATGAGGTGGTTATTTTAAAAATAAAAATAAAAAATGCAAGGAGCTTTAGTGGTAATAACTACTTTAAAAGGCTTGGCAGCTCTTTTTAAAGCCAGAATTTACTCTCTTTCTTTTTAACCCAGCATGGATAAAATATCAGAATGGTGAATGAAAACATTTGGCAAAATTGACTATTCTTATCTCGGCACACTCTGTCATTAACTGCAATTTTGTCTAACTTGCTATCTCCCGCGTCTATTCTGTGCTTGGGTCTCAGTAACACTCTCAACCATATTAGCCCACCTACTCAGCCATTTTAAATGAATCTGTCTCAATGCGAGCTAGCTGCAAAAAGTAATAATGCTTTTGCTGCAATTCGTGTTGCTTGCAGTTTCTTTTCTAGTTACTCTTTTACCATTATTAAGAGCAGCTAGGCTGTTTAAATAGAAATATTGTCTGCTTTCACACTCCGTCTTCCAGAAAAAATTGGGTCTTTTTTGTATTTTTGCATATTTTACACTAAGCTGTGCTTTAATTTGTCACGTGACTCAGTTTTCTGCAGATTCAAAGATGTTGTTTGAATTGATACGTTTTGTAATTCTTTGATAATTCAGCTTTTTATTGTCATTGGAAACAAAAGAGCTAATGACTTTTGGGCTGGTAATCTTCAAAAAGATGAAGAATTACACATGGACTCTTCAGTAGAAAAGAGAAAAAATTTTATCACTCAGAAGTACAAAGAAGGAAGATTCAGAAAAACCCTTTTGGCGTCTCTTACCAAGGAAGAATTAAATAAGGTAACCAATGAAATGTAACAAAAGACAGGGATGTTAAGGTCTTTTTAAGCCTGTGCCAAGGGTTTTGAAAAAAAGTTAAAAAAATAGTTTGCTGTTTCATAAAATTATTGTTTAATTTTATTTCCTTTTGTAACATTGCACCTTAGATCTTTTACCTTCATTTTACTTGAGGGATTCATTATCAAGGGCAAGTAAACTTTTTCTCCTTCACTGAAGTTTCTATCTGATGTACACCCACCCCAATTAAAGCTTGAATAACTTTCCCCATATTAAGGACAGGATACTGAACATGGTAACTTCAGCTGTGCGCTGCTGACTTGGTGTCAGCAAAATGGACTTCATTTGTTAGTTTATTGTTACTGACAGTGGTCTGTTCAGTGCCATTGATTGCAAGTGGCCTTTGCTGAGTGATTCTGGGTCATCTTGTTACCATTCTATATTGCCCTTTTAGCAAAGAATTTTTTTAACATCTTGCCCTCCTTTTAAAAAAAAAAAATCAACTGCTTCAATTTCTTGTGTGTCAGAAGGTTCTTCTATGTATAGATATTTAAAACATATACTTTAATATGCTTAGGGTATGCTTTCTTGGTTTTCAGTTCTTTAGAATGCATTCAGTGTCAATGCTTATTGGATAAGCATCCCCAACTACATAGCATTATGCTGAAAAATTTGGAAAATGAAGACCTTTTCAATTCTTCTCTAGAAATGATAAGATTTATACAGTTGTTTTATATTTCTCTTCTGTTGGTTTAGTTCCCATAAATTAAGTTCTTGCTTCTTTATACATCTTTGGTATTAGTAAAGTGAGGCCACCAATGGATTTTGAAGCAAGGATGTACAATAAATGCAGGATGCAGAATCTATACTTAAGGTAGGGGAGAGTCAGAGAGATGGGACAGAGGTAGGCAATCATATATAGGTTATTACTAAGTCATTTAGTTTTGTTCAGGGTGATATTTTCATGGATGCTAATTGCTATGAAAATAATGGACCTATTTATACAAGACATGCATGAAATAATGATAACAGGGTATAACCAAGGGTTATAATTAATCTAGTTCTATGCACCGGAGGCCCATAAAATAAGTACATAAATAATAAGTTGTGGATTTGGGGAAGTAACTGGCAAGATTGGAGAACTAGGGCATAATTTCCCCCCAGTGGATTCTCTCTTTTTGATAATGACAGGAATCTTGTCAGAGGGTAAATACTAATGACCCCAAAGGAGGGTTTTTCTGCCACACCATATAGATACCTTGAGCTAAGATATTAGATAAGCTTGGTTTTAATTACTAGCTGTTTCTTTCTTCTTCAAGATATGTAGGGATGTCTGTCTGTTAGGATTTACTACCACATTGGGCTTCTTAAAAATGGTACTCTTAACATCAGCAAATAATTTTTAAAAATTACTTTATTGAGGAGATACTGCTTAAAAATTGGCTCTGTGGGTGTCTTCATCGGAAAACTGTATATTTAGGTCCTCTATCCATTTTTTAAATTGGATTGTCTCTTTCTGTTTGAGTCGCATGTGTTATCTGTATATTCTGGTTGCTAACCCTTATGCAGTGTGTGGTTTGAATGTATCTTCCCTTGTGCTGTGGGTTTTACCTTTTCATTTTGTTGGTTGATTTGCTATGCAGAAGTTTTTTAGTTTGCTCTAATTCCACTTAATTGATTTTTGCTTTTTATACTTGTGCTTTTGATATCATATCCAAAAAATCATTGCCAAGACTGATGTCTTCCCTGGTCGTTCAGCAGTAAAGAATCCACCTGCAAAACAAGTGCTGCAGGAGACATGGGTTTGATCCCTGGGTTGGGAAGATTCCCTGGAGGAAGGCTTGGCAACCCACTCCAGTACTCTTGCCTGGCAAATCCCATGGACAGAGGAGCCTGGTGGGCTACAGCCCATAGGGTTGCAAAGAGTTGGACATGACTGAAGCAACTTAGCATGCATGCAGAAACATTCATGCAAACAAAATATTTAGTGGATACTTTATTACTGCATTTGAAGTATATTGAAGTTTCTGAGCATTGCCATTATCATAGTGTGTAAAATACAGAAAATATCTTCCATGGCAGATATAATGGATTTGAAGATTTGGAACATCAGCACAGCAAATCAATGAATAGGCACTTGGTAATCTTCTGTGGAAATTTAAATTCGTGTAAACCAGGCCTTTGTTACCTGTTGGTTAGTTCAGGGCGCAATAATTATTAAGAAATATAAACTTTAGCTCATGAACGAACTGGCAGACTTTCTTGCATTTTAATTGCTAGAATTATCTCTTCTTCACTTAGAAGCTGTATTTTCTTTTATCGACCAGGCTCTGTGTGCCGCTGTGGTGAAACCAGATGTTCTGGAGACAATGGCTTTGCTGTTCAGTGGAGCAGATGTCATGTGCGCGACAGGTGATCCTGAGCACAGCACCCCCTATCTGCTGGCCAAGAAGGCAGGGCAGAGTCTGCAGATGGAGTTTCTCTACCATAACAAATTCTCAGGTTAGGCCCTCTCATGCCTCCACTAACCTGGTCTCTCCTGATAGATCCTTGAAAGGACTGAAGCTCAAATCTGTAAATTTCTCAAATCAGAAACACTATTAGGATGAAAAGAAAATGTAATTATCAGAAAGACGGAAAATGCTTCTTAAGACCCATGTTTTATTTCCTTTCAAGGAAGAGTTTAGGAAATCAATCTTTTATGTGCCTTTAATCATCTAAATGGAAGATTAAAATAGTTAATCCCATGTAATCATTTTCACTAAAATTAAATCTAGTTTTCCTGTATGAATAATATATACAACCAAAGTGCAAATTTTATGCAAAGCAAAATAAATGTTTCTGTATCTTTATTCTGCAGTATATTTGAAGTAGTTTTTCTTCTACCTCAGAACTCACCAACATATTCATAAGCCAAGGGAAAATTGTTTACATTTCAGATTTCAGATGTGGTATTTCTGTAATTTTTCTAGATTTCCCTCAACATGACACGTATTCTGAAGGTGGATTAAATCAAGAGTCCTCCCAGTCTACGTTCCTCTGTGACTTTTTGTATCAGGCTCCTGCTGGTGCTTCTAAACTCTCTTCAGAAAAAAAACTGCTTGAAGGTATCTTTTCTGCTCCTTTTAGATTTTGTCATGATAAAATTTTATTTCATTATCAAAACAATTAGGTTTAAGTTTTGATATTTTCCCCCGTGAGATGTTAGATTTGATCTCGCAGTAGAGAAATATTTATTTTTTTGAGGATTTATAAAGGCTTCCAGGCACAGATATTATTTCATGCACTGCAGCAAAGATTTACTACTGGTTCAGAATGCTGAGTGAATTCTCAGCAGAATTCTCTGACATCTACCTCAGAGACAACCAATTCTGCTTCAGGATTTAAGAGTTATTCCAAAGAAATGTGAAACTCAGCCCCTTCCCTTTGGGACAGACCCCCCAGCTGGGGAGATAATATAGATAAATGTCAACATGTAGGAAGAACGGACAAGTCTTTGGTTTATATTCTGTCAGCATACTAAGTGGTCTCAAGTAGTTGAGTTTGTTCTGATTGTAATTGTGTGTGTCTATGTAAGTAAAATAAAGCTTAACATGGTTTCCAAGAAATGATGTGAATTAATTGATTTAACAACCTGTTGTAGGTTTGTGGCATTGATCTTAGCAGAATCATAGTAGGTGAAATCTATCCATTTCACTCCTTGTGTCAGGCATGTGCTGGGCATTAGGAAAACAAAAACGAGTGAGACACAGGCTAATGTTATATACATTCAAACTAATATTAGAAATGTAGGCAGGAAAAATATAATGCGCTTTGTCTTACTAGAACAGAAAGAATTTAAGAGAGATTAAGTTATGCCGGCCAATTGGTGGACTTCAGAGACTTGGAGGACAGGTATTAATGCCCTAGTGGTAAAATCCAACCATATTACTTGTATCAGAGGAATAATAGGATGAAAAACTCTAGAGTGTTAATCCTGATCTTCATACATTTGAAGAGATTATCTCAATTACAGGCTTTATTTGTCCAAAAAAGAAAATTTTAACCTTTAGCAGAATTATCCTGGGATAAACTATACTTTATTAGTTTTTTGGCCTTTCCTAGTGGCTCAGTAGTAAAGAATCTGCCTACCAATGTAGGAGACATGGGTTCGATCCCTGGGTTGGGAAGAGTCGCTGGAGAAGGAAATGAGAACCCACTCCAGGATTCTTGCCTGAGAAATTCCGTGGATGGAGGACTCTGGTGGGCTACAGTCCATGGAGTCACAAAGAGTCAGACAGAACTTAGTATCTAAACAACAACAAAAACCTATTAACAGTAGCTCGCCTTTAGTGAGCATGTACTATGTGTAAGGCATTGCTTTAGGCTTTTTCTATGTGTTCATTGTAATTCTCATAAAAGCTCTGCAGGATAGTTGATACTATGCTGGTTTCACATGAACAGTGGAGGAACTCAGCATGAAGCAGAGTCTTGCATTTGATTTGTGTTATAATTGTTACTGTATGACTTTGGCTTTGGTCAGGGTGATGACCAGCTGACACTAGGTGGCAGAGCATCTTTATTCTTTGAGTTTAGGGTTTTGCTTTTTTTGGTTCTTTCAGCAAATTTATTTTCATGTCTGTCTTTTCTCAATGTAACCAATAATAAATGATGAATTTTAGAGATTTTCTCATCTTCCCATTGCTCCTTATCAGTATTTAATACTTATATAGTTGAATGGTGAGTGATCAAGAGGGAAGAAGTACCAGAACAATCTGTGAAATGATGATAGCAATTATTAAAATAATTGAGTAACAGGGCAATTAGTGTACTTGTTAAGAAGTGTACAAGTTTTCTAGAATGTTTCTTCTAAATTGCAGGATATATTAATCTACCCTTCTAACCACTTATACAAAGATGAAATAGGAAGGAAATCTGAAATACAAGCTTTTCTTCCTAAAGCTTCTCAATATATTATAAGTATTCTGCAGGCTAACAATAAGCTTTTAGTTATTTTTTTACAATTCTGGTTATAATATTTATAAACTTATCAATTTGTTTTACTGTTTTCTTGAAATATATTGCTTTTCTTAGTCACTTGAGAACTGAATTGATATTTCAAATTTGCAACTAAATCAGTTTTTCCTTTTATAAAAGATAAGTTAACTAATGGATTTTGTTGTTGAAATTTACTTCAAAAAACAGAAACCAGTGCATTCTCCATATTCGTAATTTAATTAGGGATGTTTTCTCATTTTGGAGCATTCTGTTTTAAGTGATAATACTTTGACGATGGAGCACACAGAAATGATTTCATTGGATAACAATCTAATAATCTAACAGCAAGGTATTCTGCTCGCTATTTATATTCTTTGATAGTCTTCATTTCTTCCATCCAATATATCAGCAAGGTCTGTCATTTTAACTCAGAATAGACCATGAATCAGTTGGCTGCTCTCCATCTTCACTAACTGCATCTGAACCTTAGTCACCATCTTGTCCTGCCTGGGCTGTGATACCCTCTGTCCCAGCCCATATCTGTTTACTGGTTAACATCTTCCCCGGCTTCCCTCCAAACCATTCCCCCAAACAGACATAGTGATTGTTGAGAATGTAGATCAGACCATGCATTTCCATTGTTCAAGTACAGTTAGTGGCTTCCCATGACGGGATATAACCCTTTTCCTTATCTGACCTAAGAGACCTTCTCCTGCTTTCCCCTCTTCATCTTACATCCTTCCTTCCTGTCCTACCTGCCTGGCCACACTGGTTTCCTGTCTGTTCCTGCAACATGCCCGCTCCGGACCTTTGCAGTTGCTGTTCACTTTGCAAGGAGCACACTTTCCTCGGCCTGGCTGCCTCTCACCTCTAGGGTGTCACTGCAGGGCCACATGGTCGGGGAGAACGCCATGGCAGCCTCCTAATGTGTGGGCCCACTGCTGGTTCTTCTAGCTCATAGCGTGCTGCTCGCTTCCACTGTGGCTCTCGTTGCATGAACTGGATCCTTGTGTCATCTGTTTCTCCCTCCTTCTGGAGTGAAAGCTCTTTGAGGCCTCAGCATTCTCTGGTTTATTCAGCATCATCAAATCTCTGGTGCCTAATACAGTGTCCACACATAACTAGTCATGTGCAAATATTTGTTGAATAAATGGGCATTGCTCTAACCACATTACTGCCAGTGTAAAAGCACAGATGACTTTATATATTCATAATAAAATTTTTATCGAAGTATAGTTTCTATATGGTATTGTTTAAGGTTTATGGGTGTATGATATAGCAATTCACAATTTTTAAAGATTAAACTCTATTTATAATTATTAGTTACTATTTTTTCACCTGCATATAAAAATAGATAAGTGCTGACACAAAACACATTTTGTTTGGGAAGAGCCTACTTAAAAACATAGAAGAAAAAGTTGAATTAACAAGAAACAAAGAGTTTGGGTGGTTTTTTTTTTTTTAATTTTCTCTTTCCATCAAGATTCTGCAGCAGTGGTACTCCTGTTGAGCACCAGCTTTATGGAAAAATTGAATTATTTGGAAAGATTTAGAGATTAAAGTGCGGTTGTCACCTTTGCCTCAGAACAGCAAGCATCTGGACTGCATCACTCCATCAGGGCTTGTCAGGATGGCCACAGAGCAGACTGATTAAAAACAAAGAAAAAAGTCAAGGAATAAAATGCATGCAAGTCCTTCAGAGAGTTACAGAGGCTTCAAATTGTCAGTTCAGATTTTCAGGATTTGAAGTTCTTCTAGCCTCTGGTTATGAAGACTGATCTGTATTTTTCTTTTTCTCCCCAATTTAGTGTTCATGAAAGGAAAGATTGATAGCTCTTGTTAAACCTAAGTGCAGAGCTGAATAATAGCATCCTGATTTTGTTTTCTCTTTTCTCCCCTCAACTGTATTATTTCCCCTTGGTATCTTACCTTGATTTGTTGACAGTGTTTGAGTTTTAAAAAGAAAGTGGTTGATACAGTTTACTAGAAACTCTGTATTATCTGTTTATATTTAATTTTATGAGTTAGTATTGAGGAATTTTGAAGATCCTTTGTTCCGTAAATGCCTAGCTTGCATAGTTTAAAAATGTTTCTTCAAGGCTGAAACATTTATTTTAAATGAAAGGAGTCCTAGTGAATATTTCTATTTTCTGTGGATGCTGAATGCCGTCAGTTTGGGAAATTCTTCATCAGGAAACAACTTTATGGTTTAAAAAAATAATAGTTTCACCTGAACTCTCTCTCATTTGTTGTGCACATATATATTTGAAGGCACGACCTCCGCTGTACCCTGGCACATTTAAACAATGGACATACATGCTTCAAGCGTGTATCAGGCACGGACAGGGAGGTTGTGAAGTAGATAGAAGGATACCTTCCCTAGTTGACTGCTTGGGTTTTACTCCCAGCTCTGATGTTGAGTACTTATGTGATGTTGGTAAAGTCCATCAACCATCTTGTACCCATGAACAGGGTAAAAGGAAAGGAGCACATAATCATAGAACTGACCTAATAGGGTTATTCTGAGGATTCTACGAGTTAATGCATATAAGATGCATAGGAGAACATATGACACATACATATGATGCTGAGAGGATGAGGACAGGGAGGAATGGTAGCAGAGATACACAGGTATCCATATACACACCTTGCTTCTGGTTTCCAGTTAGCCTTTGAGTTTAGGAATATCCTACCGGTGGTAAGCTAACAATCAAGTTAACCATACTCTAGTAACCATATCACTTCATCGGAATATTTCAGTAGGTCACCTCTGGAGTTCTTTATCTGTGCATAAGTAAATTGCACTGTTTTTCTGCCCTGATCTAAATGTCAGGTTTGAATAGAAGGAAAGAACAACCCCTCCAGCTGATCCAACCACCATAATAAACAGGACCTCTGGTCTTATAAACACCTTGCGTCCTGAGAGTTGTCCATTCTGTGGCCCCAGTCTTGCTTCTGGTAGACATCTTCTGGTAACTGATTAAGCAGTAAAACTTGTTCTGTGGCAGAGAGGGTGTCCTGTCTGAATTAGCTCAAGCAGACCCATGCCATCCAGTGTAGTTTTGTTAAAGCTTTCTGATTGCTTCCCAGATGAATAGAAATGTCAAAATTTCCTATCACGGCTTTGTTGTTATAAATCCTCAGAGGTAATATCTATGCCTGCTTTTTCTGACCTCTGGCCTATTTTCACTTAAAAAAATGAAGTTCATCAAGGATTATGGTGATGATGCTACAAGGTTAAATCTCCTCAAGCCCATATTTCTAACTTAAAATGAGTTTGTACTCACCTTTTTCAAGAGGTCTGTCATTTGTTTCCCATTAGAATTAGCATAATTAGGTTCTGCATTTACATTTACTTTGTGGATCATGCATTTGACACTTGTTTAAGACCTTCCAATGTCTCCCACTTGTCTACTGAGAAAGGTGAAAACTCCAGAATACCTATCATGTAAGACTCCTGGGGCCTGGCCTCTGCCGTGAGCCTGCAGTCTTGTTTCCCAAGTCCTAATTTCAGATGTAATCTTTTTCTTTGACCAGATAGGTTTTTGACAGTTTCCCCTTCCCATGACTTTCCTCACAGTTCTTTCTCAGAATTATGGAATGACTGGGAGCTCAGTGTTCACTTTTTGCTACTTTAGAAAAACACCTTTTCCATATAAATGCCTAGTTCAAAAGCCGTAATTTGTGTGAAGTTTTTCCTTACCACTTCAGTCTGAGGGTAGCTTCCCTTTCAGAATGGGTCTGGCCTCTGAATGGCCCACCTCAGGTGAGGATGAGAGAGACAGAATTCTCAGTTAAAGGACAGGCAGTTACTGGAGAAGGGAATGGCAAACCACTTCAGTGTTCTTGCCTTGAGAACCCCATGAACTCAATGGACATGGGTTTGAGTGGACTTGGGGAGTTGGTGATGGACAGGGAGGCCTGGTGTGCTGCGGTTCATGGGGTCGCAAAGAGTCGGACGTGACTGAGCGACTGAACTGAAGTTACCTTCTTATTGTAAGACCAGCTGATATTTTCAGCCTTTATTTTATTGAATCTCTTTTTGTATTTAGTGTTGGTAGTCATTCGCTTCTGAAATGCTCAGCCCTTTTCTGTTTATGCACTCTCTCTTCTCATTTGTTTCACTGCCTTTGTGAACCCTTCTATACCCATTGTTCCCTAAGTTCCCTCAGATTTTATCCTTGGTTACTGTGCATTTTCAACTACTACCTGTAGTCTAAAGACTTTCTGGTTATTGAGGCTGTTCCTTGCCCTGAAGATTCAAATCCACAGGGTGATCTGCCTAATAGGGATTCCTGTTTGAATTTCTAGGAGATATCTTTCATGTAGTGCATGTCCAAGGAAATTCAGATTACATGCACTAAAACCATTTCTACTTTATTTCCTTTTAGGTAAAAATAGGCATTTCTGCCCACCTTGTAATCAAAGCTAAAAATGATTAATAACCATTAATAAGTACTCTCTTACTCACTATGTCCCATCAATAAATGTTTTATCCCTTTAGAATACACAAGTGCATGTATGCATTGCTCTCTCCCCTCCTCCCTGTCTCTCCTGTCCCCATCCTTTCCTATCATCCCATCGCCCCATTACCCACCCATTATCCTACTATCGCTGTGGTTCTACCTGCCTCAGATGGTCTTCATCTTTCACTTTTGGCAGAGTCTTCTGCCTTCAGCTTCACCTTCTCACATCCATGTTGCACAGAAAGCAAGTGTGCAAAATTTAAATCTGCCATTTCCTTCTGATGAAACCATTTCAGTGGCTTACCATCAACTCTAAAAGCAAAGCTTAGCAGACGTTTCTGAAAAGGGCCAGATAGTAAATGTTTTAAGCTCTGCAGGTCAGATAGTCTCTGCCCTTGTTGCAAGAAAGCTGCCCCAGGCAATCCACAAATGAGTGGGTTGTGGCCCTTTCTCAGTAAAATTTTTTGTTTACAAAACAGGTGTTGATCTGGATTTTGCCTGCAGGCCATAGTGTGCTGAACTCTTAAAAGATGAATTTCAAATCCTCTAAACAGAGCATTTACTTCCCTGGTGGCTCAGAGGGTAAAACCTCTGCCTACAATGCGGGAGACCTGGGTTCAATCCCTGGGTCAGGAAGATCTCCTGGAGAAGGAAATGGCACCCCACTCCAGTACTTTTGCGGTAGGCTACAGTCCATGGGGTCGCAAAGAATCAGACACGACTGAACGACTTCATTCAAACAGAGCATTAGGCCTTCCCTGGTGGCTCAGTTGGTAAAGAATCTGCCTGCAATGCTGGAACTGCTGCTGCTGCTAAGTCGCTTCCGTCGTGTCCGACTCTGTGCGACCCCATAGACAGCAGCCCACCAGGCTGCCCCGTCCCTGGGATTGTCATGTCCAACTCTTTGCAACCCCATGGACTGCAGCCTTCCCGGCTCCTCCATCCATGGGATTTTCCAGGCAAGAGTACTGAAGTGGGGTGCCATCGTCTTCTCCGGCAGTGCTGGAGACCTGGGTTCAATCCCAGTGTAGGGAAGATGCCCTGGAGAAAGGAATGGCTGCTCACTCCAGTATTGTTGCCTGGGAATCCCATGAATAGAGGCGCCTGGCAGGCTGCAGTCCACGGGGTCGCAGAGCTGGACACAGCTGAGCTACCACCCTACTACTGAACAGGACATTAAGGTCATTTATTTTTTGCACACTTACCCAACATCAGCCACAGTGAAACTTTTTACCCTACATTTTCCCTTCCTAATGCTCTGTATAGACATCAGTCTTTACCGTTTCAGCATCGTTTTGCAGTGGTCTCTTTATCGATCTGCCTGTTTCTCTGGTCATCAGTGTCACAGTTATTTTTGTCTTTCACATCCCTGGCTACTAGGCTGTAAATTTTTTGAGAGCATTAAGTATGACAGTTTTATATCCCATGCAGCAGTATCATGCTCTTTATACAAAATAGGAAACTAACGCATCCATTTATTTGAATCCAGTTATTTAAGACCATATATTTTAAATTTTGATTTATGGTATAGCTCAATTTATTACTTGTTTTGTTTTAAATTCCTAGAGACAAATAAAAAGTGGTGTGTTCTGGAAGGAGGCTTCTTGAGTTACTATGAAAATGATAAGTCTACCACGCCTAATGGCACCATTAATATCAATGAAGTCATCTGCCTGGCTGTGCACAAAGAAGACTTCTGTTTAAATACTGGGTAGGTCTATCATTAAACGAGTAGGAGCTGAAAGTATTTTCTGATATGTATCATACCAGTTAATAAGTGTTTTATCATCAATTCTTCACTTGCTTCTTACAGAAGAGTTTGATGGTTTCTTGTAGCCTTCTCATTTTTCAGCTTTTAAAAGTTGCTTAGGGAATTCACTAAAATGTGGGAAAATTAAAATATCTCATTAGGTAATATGAAAGGTTGACATCTTCACGTCAAATTTTAAGTAAGTTTACATCATTCCATTCTTGCACATGTAGTCTGATAATTTTTATGATTCGCTCACTGTTTAATATAGTGATTTAATGACAAAATTTAGGCTTTCATTAAATGTATCATGGTTAAAGTAGATGACAAAAAAGTGCAGTGGTAATATTCACAATAAAATAACTTATGCATATTGAATAGCATATTGAAATGCTAGATTTCTTAGATCTATTTTGACATTTTTATGGTCTCAAGAAGTTTTAAAGAGTAGACATTATTTAACATATTCGACTCACAAATAGTTTAGTAGGATTCTGTGAGGACTTTTAGAAATTGACCCTCTAAGATACTTGGTATGAAAGTTTCTTATCACATTTTGTAATGTAATTAAAAAAAAAATAAAAATATTAAAATGTGCAAAAATCAGTTATAAAACTGATAAAGGGGCATAGTATTTTAATAAAAAGTTTTATATGAGAAAGGGAAGAGATTTGTAAAGCTATGTCATTTATATAACATTATATGAAATACTGAAACATTTTACTATTATCACATAACAACCAGTACATGATAGTTGAATGACTATTGTTTTCTAGTAAATCTAACATTTTGTGAACAAAGCTGGTTATGTGTTGATTTATTACTTTAATCTTAATAGTGCTTTTATTCTAAATGATTAAACAGTTTAATGTGGCTTACCATAAAAAAAAAAAAAAAGACCCTGATGCTGGGAAAGACTGAAGGTGGGAGGAGAAGGGGACAACAGAGGATGAGATGGTTAGATAGCATCACCGACTCAATGAACATGAGTTTGAGTAAATTCCCAGAGTTAGTGATGGACAGGGAGGCCTGGCATGCTGCAATCCATTGGGTCACAAAGAGTCGGACATGACTGAGCAACTGACCTGAACCGAACTGATGGAATGTTAAGTGTACTCTATGTATTAAATTGTTTAAACAATTCAAATAATTGCTATTAGTTTATGTCAGCATATAATCATATTCAAAAATAAATCTTGGTAGAATGTTACTGATACAAGTAGATGTGCAAATGAAAGCATTTATAATGAGATGTGTTTAAAAAATAGTTACTACAGCCAGATTCTTAGTCACCTTCAATAGCATATTATAGAATTTGAAATTGATAATGTAGCAACTGAGGAGTCATACACATTGAATTTTCAGAAGAGAGCTGATGGCTGGAGTATTAAAGTAGAGATTGGAAGAAGAAAGATATAGTTAAGAGAGTGTAGCTAGAGGAGCAAATAATTAAAAAAAAAAAACAGTGAGTTGAGAGACTCTTAAGATTGAACTGGTAGCATTCAGTGTGTGACTGAATGAAATGCTGACTTCAAAGGGAATATAAATTAAGATTCCAAGGTTTTGTTCTTGTTGATGAGGCAGATGGTGATGCCTGTAAACTGGAATGTGAAGGAGATAGCAAGAGGTGTGGGGTGAGAAAGAGAAAGAAGGATGATCAGTTTAATATAGGGTATTTTGAGTTTTTGTTTTTAGGTAATGGCAGCAATCCAAGTCTATGCCCCGACCAGTAATGCTGAAGAAGCTGAAGTCGAATGGTTCTATGAAGACCTACAAGACCTTTTAGAACTAACACCCAAAAAAGATGTCCTTTTCATTATAGGGGACTGGAATGCAAAAGTCAAGAAACACCTGGAATAACAGGCAGATTTGGCCTTGGGGTACAGAATGAAGCAGGGCAAAGGCTAATAAATAGAGTTTTCCCAAGAGAACGCACGGGTCATAGCAAACAACCACTTCCAACAACACAAGAGAAGACTCTACATAAAAACATCACCAGATGGTCAACACCAAAATCAGATTGGTTATATTCTTGGCAGCAAAAGATGGAAAAGCTCTAGGCAGTCAGCAAAAACAAGACTGGGAGCTGACTGTGGCTCAGATCATGAGCTCCTTATTGAGAAATTAAGACTTAAATTGAAGAAAGTGGGGAAAACCACTAGACCATTCAGGTATGACCTAAATCAAATCCCTTATGACTATACAGTGGAAGTGAGATACAGATTTAATGCAGTGGCCACAGGACTGGAAAAGGTCAGTTTTCATTCCAATCCCAAAGAAAGGCAATGCCAAAGAATGCTCAAACAACTGCACAATCGCACTCATCTCACATGTTAATAAAGTAATGCTTAAAATTCTGTAAGCCAGGCTTCAGCAATACATGAACTGTGAACTTCCAGATATTCAAGCTGGATTTAGAAAAGGCAGAGGACCCAGAGATCAAATTGTCAACATCCGCTGGATCATCAAAACGCAAGAGAGTTCCAGAAAAATATCTATTTCTGCTTTATTGACTATGCCAAAACCTTTGACTGTGTGGATCACAGTAAACTGGAAAATTCTGAAAGATATGTGAATACCAGACTACCTGACCTGCCTCTCGAGAAACCTGTATGCAGGTCAGGAAGCACAGTTAGAACTGGACATGGAACAACAGACTGGTTCCAAATAGGAAAAGGAGTATATCAAGGTTGTATACTGTCACCCTGCTTATTTAACCTATATGCATCATGAGAAACGCTGGGCTGGAAGCACAAGCTGGAATCAAGATTGCTGGGAGAAGTATCAATAATCTCAGATATGCAGATGACAGCACCCTTATGGCAGAACGTGAAGAAGAGCTAAAGAGACTCTAGATGAAGGTGAAAGAGGAGAGTGAAAAAGTTGGCTTAAAGCTCAACAATTCAGAAAACTAAGATCATGGCATCCAGTCCCATCGCTTCATGGCAAATAGATGGGGAAACAGTGGAAACAGTGGCTAACTTTATTTTTGGGGGCTCCAAAATCACCGCAAATGGTGACTGCAGCCATGAAATTAAAAGACGCTTACTCCTTGGAAGGAAAGCTCTGAGCAACCTAGACAGCATATTAAAAAGCAGAGACATTATTTTGTCAACAAGGGTCCGTCTAGTCAAGGCTATGCTTTTTCCAGTAGTTATGTATGGATGTGAGAGTTGGACTATAAAGAAAGCTGAGCACAGTAGAATTGATGCTTTTGAACTGTGGTGTTGGAGAAGACTCTTGACAGTCCCTTGGGCTACAAGGAGATCCAACCAGTCCATCCTAATGGAAATCAGTCCTGGGTGTTCATTGGAAGGACTGATGTTGAAGCTGAAACTCCAATACATTGCCCACCTGATGCGAAGAGCTGACTCATTTGAAAGGACCCTGATGCTGGGAGCGATTGAGGGCAGGAGGAGAAGGGGATGACAGAGGATGAGATGGCTGGATGGCATCACTGACTCAATGGACATGAGTTTGGGTAAACTTCGGGAGTTGGTGATGGACAGGGAGGCCTGGTGTGCTGCTGTTCATGCGGTCACAAAGAGTCGGACACGACTGAGCAACTGAACTGAGCATATATACTTAAGTGTGTTCAAGAAATGCTTGGACTATGGATGAGCAATGAAGGAAAAATTCAAGTTATGTGATATTACCCTATTTTTATCTATACTAAGGAGATGACATTTTGGCATAGGATGAGATGATGGAAGGAAAATTCGTGAAGATGAGAAGAGAACTATTTAGAGAACTGTTGGGACAATGTTTGCTTTGAACAGAGGGTCAGAATAAATCAAGAAGGAGTGATCTCAGAGGGCAGAAGAGACAGAAGAGCGCCCCCTGCCGCATCAGGGCATCAGCAAAGTCATGCCATACATAGAGTGGTTTGTCAGAAGAATATTCTTTTTGTCTGGCCCAGTGTGTTCCATTTAATTCATTTGGATAAAGTACAAACCAGCAGCAGAAAAATATGATAGGTAGATGGTAGGTAGATCTCATGCTATTACTCAGTGTTCAAAAGGAATTTATTTAAAGACTTGATCTTTTTGTTATTTTTTTCCTCATTAAAGCCACGCATAACCAGCAGCACCTTTTTATTCTTACGTCCTGTAGGCCTATCTTTACTTTTGAGATTTATTTACCCTCAGAACGTGCATTTTTATTTGGAGCTGAAACATCTCAAGTGCAAAGAAAATGGACAGAAGCAATAGCCAAGGTATTTATTTTTTTGTTAATTTTTATTGGAGTCTAGTTGCTTTGGGCTTCCCAGGTAGTGCTAGTGGTAAAGAACCTGCCTGCCAGTGCAGAAGACATGAGACGTGGCTTCAATCCCTGGGTTGGGAAGATCCCCTGGAGAAGGGCATAGAACCTACGCCAGTCTTCTTGCCTGGAGAATCCCACGGACAGAGGAGCCTGGCGGGCTATAGTCCGTGGGGTCGTAAAGAGTCAGACACAACTAAAGTGACTTAGCACGTGTGCACACACATAGTTGCTTTACAGTGTTGGGTTAGTTTCTGCTACATAGCAGACTGAATCAGCCGTGCACATACATACATCCCGTCCCTTTGGCACGTCCCCTTCAGGTCACAACAGTTTAGCAAGTAGAACTCCCGGTGCCACACAATATGTTCTCATTAGTTATTTTATATATAGTATCAGTAGTACATATTTGTCAGTCTCCATCTTCTAATTCCTCCTACCACCCCTGTCCCCCTTGGTATCCATTTATTCTCTCCATCTGACCAAGCTATTTAAATATTGTTTTATTACCTAAATCCAGAGAAGATTCTTTACCTTTTGGAGGTTCATACATTTTTTTTTAAAAATTCCAGAAAGCATGTTCATACTTAATTAGGGTTTCATAGGTTGTAGTCAAATGAGGTTAAGAGTTACCTTTCTGAAGCCTTCAGCAGAGAAGAAATTAATGTAGGATTTTGGAGAGGTCATTCTTAAAATTAAGGCCATACCTTGATGGTGGAGATCTTTTCAATATTGTGAAGTCATTTCTGTGTATGTCTTTTTATAGGTAGATTTCTTATTCATAGTGTACACAAATGGGAAAAGAACAGATTCAGTAAAAGACAGAAATGAAGACAGACATTGAAGGTTGACATTTTAAAAGATTTCACAAACTGACAAAGAGAATATCTTCCTGTTTCAATTCTGTATATATCAAGAAAAACGGTTTAAGATGCTGCCATTTGAAATTGCATTATATTTATAGCTCTTCAGTTTTAAGACTGATGGCAAGTTTAAATAATTGTTTTGAAATCTGGATTATTCCTAAATCTACAGAAAAACAAGTTTTTCCCCTTTCCCTCATATCTTTAGCTATGTAAGGGATTTCCTGTTTTCACTGTCTTTATTACTTTTTTGTATTTGTTTTAACAGCATTTTGTTCCCTTTGTTGCTGAAAACTTAACAGAAGCTGACTATGATTTGATTGGTCAACTCTACTACAAAGACTGCCACGCCCTGGATCAGTGGAGAAAAGGCTGGTTTGCAATGGACAAATCTAATTTGCGTTTTTGCCTTCAAATGCAAGAAGGTCAAGAGGATAGAATGCACTTAAGGAGACTACAAGAACTAAGTAAGTTTTTTTTCTCCCCCTCCCCTTCTATCTGTGGGCTTCCCTGGTGGCTTAGAGGATAAAGCATCTGCCTGCAATGCGGGAGACCTGGGTTCGATCCCTGGGTTGGGAAGATCCCCCGGAGAAGGAAATGGCGACCTACTCCGGTATTCTTGCCTGGAGAATCCCATGGACAGAGGAGCCTGGTGGGTCCACGGGGTCGCAAAGAGTCAGACACGACTGAGCGAGTTCACTTCACTTCACTTATATTATATCTGCACAGAGTTCTTTGCTGCATATGGAAATAGTAGATTTCACATAAAATTATAATGAGTCACTTCTAAACAGTGAGTAAGTAGTTGATAAAGGTATTTAGTGTAATACTTTAAAATAATATATTCATACTTTTCTTCTTTCCCTCCAGCAATTAGCACAGTGGTTCAAAATGGGGAAAAATTGGATGTTTTGCTCTTGGTAGAAAAAGGGAGGTAAGTGCATTTTTGCTTTTTGTTCTTTATCTCAATGCCTCTATGGAGTTGGATATTCTGGTTATCCTCTTGGAGGAGAACCCATTATTTTATAAACTGTTGGAAATTTTCTGAATCTTGTGTGTGTGTATGTATATATTCTCTTTAGTAGAAGGAGCAGACCAGTGAAGCTTGCCTATTTTTATATTATGAGAAACTCAGTGGGATCAGTTATTGTAGTTTTCTGCAGACCTAGATTCCTTCGCTTCCTTTGGAAGCACTTGGACATTTGTAAATATATTATCAGTGTAGATATATGATAGGTATAAATAATACCCTGAATCATGTATAGCTAAAACCTGATTTCTTGAATTTATTCAGTTTTTCAATAAATATTAAGCATCTACTCTATGGTTCTGTTATAGGTACTGGGGATATAGTGGTGAATAAAACAGATATGGTCTTTGCCTTCATGAAGCATCTGCATTTGTGGGGGAAACAATATACAATATAAGCAGGCAAAAAATTTGCATAGTATTCTGTCCCTCAGTGTTAAGTGCTTGAAGAAAAATAAGGTAAAGAGAGTGTACCTGGTAGAGTGGTATTCTGTTTTCAGTAGGGTGGTAAGAGAAGATATCTTGGATCAGAGATCTGTATCGAGTGGAGGGAAAAAAAACAAAAAACATGCAGCAGTCTGAATAGAATGTACGAGGCACAAGGGCAAGGATACTTTGAAGACCCCAAGAGTGAGTTGTGTTTGGCATGTTCAAGGTCTGAAGAAAGCTCCTGTGGCTAGGGAAATTTCAGTGAGTGAGAGTGGGAAGAAATGATTACAGAGATATCCCTGGGCCAGACTGTAGAGCCTTACAGGCCATGGTATGTAAAGACTTGAATTTTATTCTAAGCATGGTGAGATGCCCCTTGATTTGAGAGCCAGGAAATGCAATCATCTGACTTAGGTTTTTGAATGACTACTCTGACTCTAGATGGATAGCTTTCAGAGGGCGCGAGTGAAAGTCTGAGCATCAGGTAAGATGCTGCTGCAAAGGCCAGGCAAAAGGTGATTCCTGATGACATAGTGTTGGGTGGTAAGATACACTGTGTGGGCAGAGGTCAGTGAATCTGCTGACGAATTCAGTGACTGTGACAGTCAGAGATGATCCCAGAGTTTTTGGCCTGAGCCTTTATGTGAATTATGGTGCTATTTTTTGAGATAAAATAACATGGAGAGTAGAGGTGGGGTATTAGTACATTTAGGGCAGTAGATCAAGAATTTGGTTTTGGAAATGATTACTTGGATATGTCTATTTGAAAGCAAAGTGGATATGCAAGCCTGAAATTAAGTGGAGAGGTTACAGCCAGAGATAAAGATTTGAGAGTCATCAGCATACATTTTGACTTACTTATTTAGCCAAGGAACAGATCAGATTCACCTAGAGGAGGTCTGTAGGTAGAAAAGAGACAAGGAGGTAGTCCCAGGGCCTTCAGTTTTAGAGGAGGAATGATCTGGCAAAAGACCCTGAGAAGGAGCAGAAAGAGTCAGATCACAACAGCTAGGATGGCATAGTCTCCTGAACAAATTGTTTTCTCTTTACATCTTATCATTTGCTTTCAAATCCCATAAGTAGAATGTTTAGCTCTTCAAGAGTGCAAGATATGTATTTGTAAATATATGTATGTGTATATAAATATTTGTAATGATAAATATAAAAAGTAAAGTCACTCAGTCATGTCTGACTCTTTGCGACCCCTTGGACTGTAGCCTACCAGGCTCCTCCATCCATGGGATTTTCCAGGCTAGACTACTGGAGTGGGTTGCTGTTTGCTTCTCCAGGGGAACTTCCCAACTGAGGGATCAAACCCGGGTCTCCCACATTGTAGGCAGACGCTTTACCCTCTGAGCCACCAGGGAAGTCCTAGATATAAAAGCAAAGCTCAGTTAGCCTTCCCTCCAGTGAACTTCCGTGCTAGTGACAAGGATAATGACTGAGCCCATTATCTGAACCTGTCTTTTCTTGAACTTCACAGGAAGATGCCAACTGCTTTAGACACTAAATGTATTGCTGATTAGATAACGTGTGTCAAAATGTATTTTCAACTTACAGACGTAATCAGAACTTTATGTTTTTACTTCTTTATTTCTGGACTTACAATGATTAATAATATTTTAGGTTCTAATTTTGCTACCAGATGATAGTTTTACTGTTCTCTCAGAATACGTTCCATACATGTTCAGAAATAATAAGAAGAGAGTAGATAGTGTTATGGCATTAAGACTAGCACAAATAACAATTTTTCAGTTCAGTTCAGTGGCTCAGTCATGTCCAACTCTTTGCAACCCCATGGACTTCAGCACGTCAGGCCTCCCTGTCCATCACCAATTCCTGGAGTTTACTCAAACTCATGTCCATTGAGTCGGTGGTGCCATCCAACTATCTCATCCTCTGTCATCCCCTTCTCCTCCCGCCTTCAATCTTTCCCAGCATCTGGGTCTTTTCCAGTGAGTCAGTTCTTCACATCAGGTGGCCAAAATATTGGAGTTTCAGCATCAGTCCTTCCAGTGAACACTCAGAACTGATTTCCTTTAGGATGGACTGGATGTATCTCCTTGAAGTCCAAGGGACTCTCAAGAGTCTTCTCCAACATCACAGTTCAACAGCATCGATTCTTTGGCGCTCAGCTTTCTTTATAGTCCAACTCTCACATCCATACATGACTACTACAAACACTTGGAGCCCCCCGAAAATAGTCTGTCACTGTTTCCACTGTTTCCCCATCTATTTGCCATGAAGTGTTGGGACCAGATGCCATGATCTTAGTTTTCTGAATGTTGAGTTTTAAGCCAACTTTTTCAGTCTCCTCTTTCACTTTCATCAAGAGGCTCTTTAGTTCCTCTTCACTTTCTGTCAAAAGGGTGGTGTCATCTGCATATCTGAGGTTATTGCTATTTCTCCTGGCAATCTTGATTCCAGCCTGTGCTTCATCTATTAATATTTATGGAATGCCTGTTGCCTGTTACCTACATGGCAAGAAAAAATGGTCAAAAATACAGATTTGTTGCTTGAGCTCACAGAGCTTATGTTCTTAAACAAATTAGCAAACAGAAACTTGCTAGTGAAATTTATTTTATGTATTATATATATATATATATATGTAATTTGCAAAAATCATGTTACTGTACCCAAGGTATTTTTCTACCAGTTTTAGTCTATAAGGGATTTGACCAGTGGTACATAGATTTTAATGAAAATGCACCAGATGTGGATTAGTGCTGTTCAATCTGAATTTGTATTTAGTGCTGACCTCATGTAGTGTACTCCCTCATGAATGCAAGATAAGGAAGCCAGAAGACTAAATGTTTCGTTACTTTATGACATCTTGAACTTTATCCCGGGCAACAGGAATCAGAAGGGGAACTCAGAGGTACTCTAAGTTTATGGAATAGTTTAAAACTAGCAGGATTCCAAAATAATGGTCAAAGCTGCCTCGTTTAGTTTTTGAGACTAAAGCTTCTATCTGTGTGCATGTGCGCTCAGTTGTATCCAGCTTTGCAGCCCCGCAGACCGTCGTCTGCCGGGCTTCTCGGCCCCTAGGGTGTCGCCCAGCAAGAAGACTGGAGTGGCTGCTGCTTCCTTCTCCAGGGGATCTGCCCAAGCCAGGGATCAAACCTGTGTCTCCTGCATTGGCAGGCGATTCTTTACTGCTCTGCCAGCAGGGAAGACTGTTTTTATCTACATGTGTTTTCAGCTAGTTGTGTTGAAAGAATTTTTATGAAAGGCAGTAATAGAGAATGTGTCACGATGAGAGTAGGAGAAATACAGGATAAATATAAAACCAAGTTATTTTTCTTGAATCTCTTTGAATAGTTGCCATACAAAAGGAACCATTGGAAAACAACTATGTTTATCATATGCTTATATATTGATTCTACTTGCTTTCCCAGTTTTCTCCAAATCAATAATATTCAGATAATAGCAATAATAAAATGATGACAATGTATAAAAATTACTCTGTACCAGGCACTATTTTAAACACTTATGTACAGCCTTCCAGTGTGTATATGATGCTGAGGGGAATAATCCAATTTGAAATCAAGATAAGGACAGTTGTTAACTTAACAACGTAACCATTTCTTTTTAAAATAAGTGGTAGTATTAATTTACCAAGATCACTCTCAAAAATTAAGTCAGCTAATATATTAGGAGCCTGGATAAATAATATGTCACTAGAATTTAAATTTCAGCATCTTATTAGAAAGTAAAAAGTTTATTAGAAAACTCAAAAAGTTATTTTACTAGAAAAAATATATCCATCCAGTGGTTACCTAACTAAAGGTGAAACAGAAAGAAGAGAGGTCAGAAGTGGGAAAAAAGAATCAACCTGGAAGATGGTGAGTGCACTGGGTTATAAGCCTTTATGGAACAAAAAGCCATGCAGGTGTCCAGGGCACCTTGTATGGTGAAGAACAGTGTCTCATATTTATATACCTATGTGTTTATTCACAGATGTACACACATGTGTGTACATATATGTGGATATGTATACACATATGTAAATACATAGAAAAAAATGGAAAAAGAGCAGGTTTGGAAGAGAGCCTGGGAAATGATGAGTTTGATTTTTGACATTTGGAACATGAGGTGCTTATAAACACTTGAGAAATTGCTTAGAAGGAGTTATGTTTATGGATCTGACACTCATGATTGGTTAGTGGGGATATCAATATTGGAGTTACCCACATATGGAATGAAGAAGGTGAAATCACTTAGGGAGGGTCTATAGAGTGAGAAGGGAAGAGGTAATGTGTTGGGACTTTGATGAATACACGGCATGTTGGAGGTGGGGGCAGTTTTCGGGGAATTAGCTACCCCAGGGTATAAAGGTAGTTTCTTCAGAGAGTGAAGCAGGAAACCAAGAGGATGTGTCACTAAGCCCAGAAAGAGTGCTGCAGGAAGGAAGGAATAGTTAACACCAGGTGTCTGATGACAATAGATACCTCATTGGATCAGTGATGGGGAGTC